GGCTGCTCCGCCTCCCCCCCCCTCCACGCTTTACTTTCAGGACTGCAACCTTTAAGCGGTTAATACCTAAACAAGGACTTGGAAAAAGCCAGAGGAAACTCTCGACTTTGCTACCAGAAGGGGCTGCGGGGAGGGGATGGAAAGCGAGCTGTTTTTCCAGTGCAAAAAATGGAAAGGCTGAGTAATAAAACTCTCCCCTCCCGGCCCTTGGCTGGCCTTGAAGTCCAAGTCAAGGTGATCTCTCCTGGCCAGAGCACACCTGAGCTGCTCCCCCAAAGTTTGATTACTTTTTTCAATTTTGGCAGCCCCGGGCACCCCAGACTTTCCTGGCTCTTGGGAAAGGCATCGTCCGTGGCTCCCAAGGAAGTACGCGGAGGAGCTTCCTGTAGGACTTAATCCCTTTAACTTAAAATCAAGAAGCGCTTTGATCAGGGAGGGAGCAGGAGGGAGGGAGAGAAGGAGGAGATGGCGAACGAAGAGGGAGGGCTCTCCACGCTTGACTGCCGAAGCCGTCGTCACAAGCGACAGAGCCGCAGCACTCGATCAAGGTGGCAGAGGGAGCCCTCCTGGGTTTCTTTCCAGCCGCCTGGTTCTCTGCATCTTTCCAGCCTGGCAAGCGGCAAGATTGCTCCAGTCAGAGCCGGTTTGGCATCCAGAGCTTGTTCTGAGATGAGGCAAAGGGACCCCCGGCCTGACAAGCGTCTGCCCCCCCTTGCTCAGAGCTTTGGGACAGAGGACCTGACTGGTGGCACCTGAGTCTGGTAAAGCAGGGCTGCCTGGACCAGGTTGTGGGGGGGGGGGAAGCCCTGTGAATGGTTTAGGGAGTGAAAAGTGGGAAGGAGATGAGCTTGTCGGCCACTCAGTCGCTAGCCTGGCTCTGCCTACGGATGAGCTGCAGAGGTGCTGATTAAATTTTGAGTTTCTCCAAGTTGGGAAGGGGCAGTTGCCATTCGCCTGCCAGGGATTGGAACTGTTGTCCAGTTCTTTTAACTGTTTTCTCGCTTCTCTCTCTCTCTCTTTCTCGGTGCTCTTTCTCTCTCTCGAAGCTTTCTGCTTGGCATCTGGATGGTTGCTACCGGCATGGAGAGGATCGGAGTGAACCTGGCTCGGTAAACCTGCAGGCCAGCTGGTGTTCCAGACCATGGACTCTCTGAGACAAGCTGAGGTGTGAAAATGTCGAACGGAAACCGGGCGCTGGTGGTAGACTTTATTTCCTACAAGCTGTCGCAGCGGGGCTACAACTGGAATGAGATCGAGGGGGAGACGGAGAACCGGACTGAGCTGGCGGAAGACATGGGCGGCGGCGTCCTCAACGGGAGCCCCTCGTTGCACCCCAGTGCCAGCCCCGTGGTCAACGGAGCCACCGGGCACCTGAGCATCCTCGAAGGTCACGAAGACAACCCTCAGTGGGATGTGAGGCAGACGTTGCGGGAGGCAGGGGACGAGTTTGAACTGAGGTACCGGCGGGCGTTCAGCGACCTGACCTCCCAGCTCCACATCACCCCGGCCACGGCGTACCAGAGCTTTGAGCAGGTGGTGAACGAACTCTTCCGAGATGGGGTGAACTGGGGACGGATTGTGGCGTTTTTCTCCTTCGGAGGAGCCCTGTGCGTGGAGAGCGTAGACAAGGAGATGCGAGTGTTGGTGGGGCGGATCGCCAGCTGGATGACCACGTACCTCACTGACCACCTGGACCCGTGGATCCAAGACAACGGCGGCTGGGTAAGCCATGGGCAGAAGGGCACGGGGGAGCTGGGCAGGGGGGGAGCAGCACCTCCTTGATTGAAGCAATAGAGAGAGCCGTTTTTATCTGCAGTGGCTTTGGGTGCCAATCCTGAGGATGCTGAGCGAGAAAGAGACCCGTCTGGCATCGTAGGTGGCTGCTGGGAGGCTCCCTTCATGAACCTCCCCTTTGGTTGTTTCTGGGAGTTTGTTCCTCCAAGAGGGATGGAAGCATCCGTGCCTCTTCACTGAGTGGCTGTTCCTGCCATCTGCAATGGGTTAGATTACCACTCCCATCCTCCCCAGCTGCCGCGGCCAACAGCCTGCTAGTTGGAGGGTGTTGTCCATCTTATCCAGAAGAGTTGGCAATCACAAGGCTTCTCTTTTAAGGTGCCTGTGAAACCCTTTTTGTTGGAAGATGCCCATGGGGGTCTTGATGACTGACTTGCTTGCAAGCCCTGTGCTATTTTCCCTGCTAACCCCTTGCTCATTGAGGCTAAATGTACTTTTTCTTTCTTTTTTGCATGCGCTGCAGACATGCATCTCTAGGGTTGATGACGTTCCAGCTGGTATTTTGCCTGTTTCAATCCATCACTTTGTTCATTAGAATGTTCTTCTTTCGTTAGAACATTCTGCATCCCACAGCCCATCGAGCAGAGTTGCAGAGATGCTTTGTATTGTCTGTGCAACACCATTAGGTACAGAAAGAGAGGTCCTTACCCCATGGCTTTGGTTTTTGGTTTTATTTGTAAACCGCCCAGAGCAGACCCTTGGTCTAGATGGGTGGGACATAAATCTAAATAAAATAAATGAATGGCTTCCAGGGAGCCTCATGGTTGAGGAGGAGGTTGAACTGCCCCTTTCCCACGTCCAACACCACGTGCTGGATGGGTCAGCGTGCCGCCAGGGGTCTTCATTGCAAGGCTTCAAAGCTGTTGTTCAGTATCAGGGATGATGGAAGATGTCAGCCCAGAGATCATCCGGTTGCACAGCCCACAGCCTGGCATGCCGGGGGCGGGGGGGGTAGAGCCAAGGAACAACGAACCCTTGAGTGGCTACTAGGCTTGAAATCTATATTATCATTTCTTCTTCTTCTTCTGTTAGCCCAACTCAGGGTGGCAACCAACACTTGCCCTCCTGGTGCATGGAACTTGGTTTGTCGCTAGCGTGTCTCTCTTAAGCATGGTGAGAAGTCTGTGGAAAAGGTTAGCTCATGCAGTTGATCCAGTGGCTGCCGGGATGTGGCTTCAGAGGCCCCGGATGTGTTTCATTTGGGACTGGTGGCTCCCAGTGTTTTCCCACCCCCTTTTGCTTGAAAGAAGGTTCCGTGGTCACCATAGCCGTGGTTTTCACAAGTGTTCTCCGCCTGTGGTGAGGCATGGAGTGTGATGGGGTGCAATTCAGGCCTGACACGGAGAGCGTGCCTTCACATCCTAGAACCCCAGGGCCTGGCCCTGATATAAATTTCTGTTCTTGGGTTTCGGAAGAGAAAAACCCCTTCGGCCAGACCTTGTCTTTCCACGGACCATCTGTGCGTGGCAGAGCAGCCTGTGCGGTAGGCGAGCGAATTGATGACCTAGCTGAAACGAAGTCTCACCCTTAGCTGAGTACAAAGCCGCTTTCATCCCTGTGGTTGCCATTTTTGTGTCTGCCTTATGTTAAAGTTGGTACGAGGCTTCCTTATATCTTTGCCCTGTTTATCTGTTATCTCTGTTGCCAAGAGATTGGCAAGACTTGGGCATTGAACCCTTCCCATCCCAGGTCTGCTGTACAACGGTCAATTGAGCCTTTACAGTTATGTCCTTTACCTCTTTTAGCTGCGTTGCCAAGTCAGGGGTTGAAAATGTGACTTTAAAAACAAAACAACGAGTGGGGGATTATAGTCCCCAGAAGTAACATTTCCACCCTCCCTGTAAACTTGAGGAGACCCTTGGCCAAGCCTTAGCGGCTGCTCCCACCCAGAGAGCCCTATGCCTCTGTCCAGCAGGGCTGAGCTGAAAGTGTGGTGCTCAGTGGCAAACTAGGAGCCTGCCAGGATGCTGAATAATTTACATACAGTACGTCCTGCCTTTCCTCTGGTGAGCTGCAGACCGGATCCCCTGACTCTCTTCCCCACTTGATTCTTACAACAACCTGGCAAGGTAAATTAGGGGCTGAGCATTCATGACTCAGGGAGGACTTCAACCTAGATCTCCAGGCATTTAAAGTAAGTTTTGTCCCATTTGCAGGACAAAACTTTGGATCCACCATTTAGAAGAAGAGCATGGCCCTATTGGATCATTGCTCCTCCTCCTGCCTCTACCCTGTGGGAGGTAGGATGTCATCCTGGCTGGTGGGACACCTGAAGATGTGGCAGCTCTAAAACAATCACCTTTTGTTGCATTCACAACAGGTTGTGAATGCAACACAAGGTTGTCAGCCCACCGAGGGCTTTTCTCATTCACTTTTTACCGTGTGTGGTCAGCTGTAAGGAGCTGGCCTTCTCCCTTCCCCTTAGGTGACCAAAGGATCCACCTGGCTCAGTCCGGTGGATCCATACAGCTGGAAATGACTTGAGGGTCTAGAATGCTCTGAACTGCCCAGAAGGAAGGGTGGCCGGCAAGGGGTCAGAGGGAAGAGAGAGGTAGGAGCCTGCAGTGAAATCCAGGAGCCGAAGAGAGCTGGGCTGGCAAAGCAAGAGAGCAGGTGGGGGTGGGGATGGGGAGGAATATTTGCCAGGTATGCCCGGAATGTGCTTGTTTATTGGGGCCCAACCTGAGGTGTGCCTGCCCAAACAGACCAGACTGGTTCCTCTTTCTCTTTGGCCCCCTTAGTGCTTTTCCTGTCTTCTCTCCTGATCCCCTCCTTCCCTCCCTCCCTCTGTCCCCCCCCACCCCCTCCAGTTCCTGTTTGCGAGATTAGTCCCGGGCCCAATGGAGATTTCCACATCCCAGTCGCTCTGGTGACGATTGGGTTGTATCCTGGAGACCAAGGCGATAATGTAATCTGATTTTGTAAACGAACTCCCTGGGGGGATTTAGATTAAAGCACTGATGGAAAGTCACCACTGGCCCCTCCTTGACAGGAGAAAGAGGTCCCCCTCCTCTTTCCATCCTGCTCTTAACTTGTCCCTCTTCCCCCACGCCCCCACCCCACAATCTTTCCTTTTTGTGTCTGGGCACAAATGCATTGTTTGTGCGAGTATGGTAGGGGTGCCCAGGTGGCCAAGCCCGTGGTCCCTGCTCTTCAGACCTCCGCTTGCCTGCCTTCCCTGGATTGTAGCCTCTCTTTCACCTTTCTTGAAAATTATTGGGAGTGAGCGGGTGGAGGTACGGGGGGCTTCAGTGGTGGATGAGGGAGTTGAACAACAGCAAGAAGCACCCAAAACTGGGCAGAGCAAAGCTGCACAGCCCAGGCGGGCATAAATGACACCCTCTCTGGTTATCCTGAAGCAGGTTGTTGTTGTTTAGTCGTTCAGTCGTGTCCAACTCTTCGTGACCCCATGGACCAGAGTACGCCCGGCCCTCCCGTCTTCCACGGCCTCCTGGAGTTGGGTCAAATCCATGTTGGTCGCTTCGATGACCCTGTCCATCCACCTCGTCCGCTGTCATCCCCTTCTCCTCTTGCCTTCACACTTTCCCAACATCAGGGTCTTTTCCAGGGAGTCTTCTCTTCTCATGAGATGGCCAGAGAATTGGAGCCTCAGCTTCAGGATCTGTCCTTCCAGGGAGCATTCAGGGTTGATTTCCTTCAAAAAATTTTTTAAAGGATTGATTTTTATCCACCTTGGTAAGGAGTAGGTTGAAGTGAAGTGAAATCTGAACACCTATAATAGGTTTGTTCTCCTTGCAGTCCAGGGGTCTCTCAAGAGTCTTCTCCAGCACCACAATTCAAAAGCATCCATTGTGGAGGGGATCAGGAGAGAATTCTCTCAAGTAGGTTAGGAGCAGGCCATGCAGCGGGGCCTCATTGCTGGACCTTGGCCGGCCCGCTTTGTCCACCAGGCTAATCCCACCTTGCTCAACTCACCTTGGTGCTCTCCAAAGGTCTTGCATTCCAACTTCAGTTGACTCCCGGTTTTACCTGAAAGGCAGCCTGTGTGTTCTAAAGGAAAGAATGGTTGTGGAGTTCTTGAATGCTTTGTGCTCAGCCTCCCTTCCCCACCTATAAAATGGGAATATTAGACAATCGCCTACCTTACCGTTTTTTAAAAAAAACAAAAGAGGCTATGGTTACTGGAAAACAGTCAACAGACAAAAGCCTAATGTGGCCTAACGGGTTGCACGTTAACATGGACCAGGAAGAGCTGGGTTCAAATCTCTCCTGGGCTGTGAAGTTTTGGCACCAGTTGCATTCCTTCTTGTACCTTGACTCCTCAGTTAAGCAGTACATTTGGTCGCCAGCTGCTCTGTTTAGCAGTTTCAAGACCACTTCGCTTCTCCACCCAGTTGGGGCAGCTACCCTCTCCACTTTGCGAGTGACGCTTTTCCCTGGGGGGGGGGTTATTCAGGTGCTGCGCACAGGAACGCTGCGGTCCCGGGAGCAAGAAGAGGCCTCCCCTTGGCCCCACGGAGGATCTCCCAGTAACCTGCAGGGAGCACAGCCTTCCCGTTATCCCAGCAGGCCTTTGGCTAGCCATAATAACAAGAAAGCTGGCGGATAGCAGGGTGAGCGAGGAACAGATGGCCAGTCAGGGCTGTGCAGAAAGGAGCAGGCGTGAGCGAGTCTTAATATTGCAGCAAGCAGGGGCAAGGGGCTTAGGCAGCCCCGAAGAAGAAGTGATTCTGCAGAAAGGTGTGTTGTGCCCCCCCCCCCAAATAAGCAGATTGCATGCCAGCCTCTCTCCTCTGTATCCTTGCAGGATGCAAGCCCTCTTCTTTGCATATAAGGAATAAGTAACACATGTTCAAGTGCTGCTGGTTTGAATGGAACCGCCGTTTTTTGTAGCAGTCCCTCTGTGGTGTTCTTAGACAGGAGAGCCTCCAGGACAGAGAGCCTGTTCTGTTTTCTCCAAATGCCCG